GAATCATAAACAGAAATAGTTTTTATATTGAGTCACAAAAGTTTAATTGAATTGTATTCTGTAAGACCAATTCCTTTATCATGTAAAAAGCATTTGAAAGTTCGACCAAACACAAAGATAGGTTTGAACCGATCTCGATTTCAAAAACCATTTTTAGTTTCTTAAAAAAATATAGGGTTTATATATTTTAATTTTAATAATAAATTATGGGATTTCTAAGAGAGCATTGTAGTCCTGGCACATAAACAAATTTGTAAAATATTTTTCACATTGCTCACAAAGATTTACTTTGTACGTTAAATAAAAATTGCTACTAGTTGGTTTTGTTAAAGCATCCAAAAGCGATTGACATTTTGAAGGTGTATTCTGGTAGAAAGTATAAACGTATTTTTCACAATATGTGTACAAAGAACATGCTTCACATATAGTTTTCCCATATGTTAGATACGTCTGGGAATCAACAAATAGTAAAATCTTTGTGATGTTTGATAATTGACTTAGTTCAACATGTAATTCATTATCATTGGGTATATTATTAAAAAAATATGATCGTAATTTATGTCTCTGAATCCTATCATCGATCTTAACGTTGATTCAAATAGTCTTGGGGCAATATCGTACATTCTATTCATACTTTTTGATAAAGTGAAGAGTAATGTGTTTTGGCACAAGATAATATTTGGTCGCATGTAGTTTAAAATAATGGTGGTAAAATAAATAAAATGTGCGACAAACAAACTTAAGTTTTCGAAAATTGCCAGTTTTTAGATTATTGAGCTTGAGTTTGGAAGAAGCTAAGAAAAAAAATATTATATGTAATATATCATCAAATAAAGAGACAAATCTCTGTTTGTTTTTGGTTCTAATATTCTTTATAAAATACGGATCAAGTTTTTGTCGATTAATTTTTCTTTTCTCATTATGATCGTATTTAATAAAAATAAAATCCTTTTTCGATTCCATAATGGATCAACTAAATAATTTTCTGTTCGGTAAATACTGAACAGAACTCAAATATTTATTTATATAAACATTTAATAGTTTCTGCATTTTGTTTTATATAGATCCTGATTTGATGATAGAATATCTTCTCTACAATTAATACAATTATTTATATAATAACATATAAAATTTTCAATGTCAATTGCCTGTGTCACTTTTTCCAATATTCTTTTAGATTCAGATATATCGTCCCTGTGAAAATCATAAA